AACGGGTGACTCTGGGTGGCTCACAGTTAAAATCAGAAACCCCATCAACAATTAAAAATCCTCCATAAATAGTTAAAATAAATAATCCATTAAAAATCAAATCTAAACAACCAACCCTGTACATAAAAACTAAAAACATTATGCAGTACAATATAACAGTGGGAAAATTATATTATATTATTTCTTTCCCATGGACCATCTGTGGCACCCTCACATGGACCACAGATTGAGAACCAGTGATTTAGACATCAGTAGATGAACTTTCTGCAGCAACTATTAAAGAATATTATAGACTGGCAATACAAAATCAAAACCAGATTCTGTATGATTTTTTTTAAAGGATGTTTTTGAAGTGCCTTTTTATAATGGAGGACGTAATAATGATTTATTAGTGTTTGTAATGTATTTTTTTTGCAAATGATTTTGAAAGCAAGAGTAACTCTTTAATTTACCTTGGTTTGAATCATTCTCTGGGGAATATTGTTCATGGCATTGGAAAGCCAACCTTCAAGGCTTTTTGCAAAATTGCGAATGGCTTGGGTCAAGGCACCTATGCATGAAAGAAAGCACAATAAATGAAAAAAAAAAGTCAAGGCATGAATGTATTGACAGATAAATGTCCTTGAATATTACAACTAAACCATAAAGTGAGGGAGTAAATGCTAATGCATGTTACTAATCACTGTAGAACACAAATACCACATAATTAAAAGTAGTACTATTCTAGCACAACATACCTATAGAACAGCAAGTCTTGAAGGCTGCGGTGTCAATTCTCACTGAGGTGCTAATCATGTGCCTATGCTGTGTAACTATGGACTATAAGCAGAAACTCTTAGTGGAAAAGAGTATTCAGTCACGTGGGACCCAATCTCAGCCTGAAAACATAGGGTCATCCTTGCAGTAAAATATAGATCCCAGACCAGGATCAGTGAAATATTACACCATAATTCTTCAGTACATAAAGGAACACAAGGATGACAGTCTTACTCTAGGCTCTATTTTATTACATGAAGGCACTTGCTCCTACTATGAAGTTAAAGTAATATATTGTTCACTCTTAACCATTTCTGTTGTAGGAACAGAATGCTAAGATTTGAATATGTTCTATATGCTATAGAAATGTATTTTATTCAGTATTGAACACTACTATGCATCATAATTTTGATCTTCAACTATGAAAAAAGAACCTGTTTGGTAAACTTTAGGTTTACAAGAATACAATGTCTTAAAATATATTATTTGGTTTTGAAATGCAAGCATAAAAATTAATTCTAAGCAGTCACTGAATGTTTAACTATCTTTGGAAAGAATATAGAGAGTTTCATCCTATAATCCAATTCAAGAAGTTATTTTAGGTGCATTGTAACATTTATGACTGATATGATCTTTCAATATTTTTCTTTAAAGAGCAAATCTGTACCCTATCCCTCATCTATCCAAAAGTGTGAGATATTTATACATTTATGGGTACCCTGAGATTTCTAGAAGTGTATGATGTGTTCAATTTTTTAAAAAGCGTAAGTCTCTTTCTTCCCAAAATCGCAGTCAATTGAGGCTTAAGTATATTTAATAGCCATAACATACTGGCTGTTAGGAGGAAAAATGAAAGAAAAACCCAGGAATGGAGTATAGGAAGGCATAGCAGACTAACCAGAATTGCAACAGATGCAAGTTCCTTTGGTCCATCTGCTTCCAGTATACAGAAATGAATTATATTATTTATGCAGTCAAATGAATTGTATTATTTATGTAGTCGAAACAGTATCTTGCATACAAACACAATAGAACTTATAAGCATGTTTGGGGAAATACAAGTCCTGCAAAAATAGAAAGCATGCGTTTAAAAATCCTGGGACTTGGGGGCAGGGACTCTCTCTCTAAAAGCCCAATGGAGAAAACATGGATGGCTGCCTAAACTAGTGAATAGAAATACTGCACATTAATAATACTTGGTTGCAAGTCCCTCTGGTAGCTCAGAAATCAGCAGTCTGGTGGTACTTTCTCCAATTAACAACTTTTACTAAAAGGCATAAGCTTTCGTGAGCTGCAGCTTATGCCCCTTAATAAAATGTCTTAGTTGGAAAAGCTGCTACCAGACTCCTCCTGATTTTTTTGCTACCATAGATGGCCAAGGCTCTCTTCCTCTATTGTAGCTGAGAAGCCAATCTCCCTTTCCTTGCTACAAAGGGTGGAGGACTCCTAAGAGGGCTTCCACAAGTACAAGGGAAAACTGGCCACGTGATAAGGCTCATACATGCAAATGAACTGGCTACCTTCAAGACTTTGTTACATAAAGTGTGAAAGCCACATCTCCTATATGCACCATAGAAATTACCTAAGTAATGTCATTGCTATTTTACAATGTCTTGGTACCTTTTGCAGAAAGGCATATAATAATACAAAGTAAAAATAAAAGCTACTAGCTAAATATTAATTTAGTTAAGAAGAGTAAATATTTAATATTGTTTATACCAATACCAATCATAGTTATTGCCCACAGAAACCATTCTTTAGAATAGCATGAATAATATTTGATAGGCTAAAAGCATATTAATTTCCATAAATGTATCTGACAGTTGATTTATAACTGTATTAAATCACAACCCTAATGTTATACATTTTCCTTTGAACAGAACTAGCTAAATGGATGGTTAGATCAAACTAGAGATTAGAGATTATGAGAATAAACCACTTACCCTGAAGTATGACCACACTATTAAATTAAAAAGAAGTAGAAGCTGATTCATAATACCTTTATTAGGATTAATTAACAAGTTATAAAATAGTTGCTCAGTATTTAAGGGTACCAAAAATAATTAAATATTTTATATAAACACAGTAATAAAAAAAAATGCTCCAATTTTCAAATTAAATAGCAGAGTGGTAGAAAAGTAAGATGCCAATATTCATAACAAGATCAGGACTCACAAAAATATTAATTATTTTAAAAATACAAAGAATTTTTAAAAAAATTAACTGTTTCAGGGGAGTCCCATTTCAAATTAATCCAAATAATTTTGTTTCAGCCCAAAAAATACCTTTAGATTTATATGACAATTTTAGTACTAAATTCTTTCTTTCTTTCTTTCTTTCTTTCTTTCTTTCTTTCTTTCTTTCTTTTTCTTTCCCTCCCTCCCTCCCTCCCTTTGTTGTTTTGTCTCATGCTTGTTTAGATGCTGAATGATAAAAAAAGCCATATGAAAACAAGCAAGATGGAGGAATTGTTTGTTCAGAAATCTTCTGGTTCTAGACTCCTTCCATCTTTAGTTCCTGATGGGATTACTCTGACCTTGAAAGAACAGGTCTACAACGTGGGGGCTCTTTTAGTCTTGCAGGTCCTGCTAGTACTGCAGCTGGAAAAACTTGGCAAGAGGGTATTTGCCCAGCTCTAGTTGGGGTGCTAGCTGTGGCACTTTCTGCATCAGGAGGTACCAACAATAACTTATGTCCTTGTCACTTTGTACTTGGATTGTGGAACCTCACTTTACATGGAGCTGTCCTTGAAAGACAATTTGGAAGCTTCAGTTGGTCCAAAATGCAGCTGCCTGCTTGCTGACTGGCCAGAACAGTAGAACAATGCCATTTTTACAATAGCTTATACCAGTTATCAATATCCTTTCAGGTCCAGTTCAAGGTCCTGGTTATAACCTAAATAGTCCTTTATGGCTCTGGTCCTTATTAACTGAGACTGTCTGACCCAGGTACTATCTGTAGGTTCACTCCACATAAGCCAAGATTCTCTTACTGTGAGAAAATGAGAGAGAAGGTACCAGGAAGCGGGCGTTCTGGGTGGCAACCTGCCCACTTGCTCCTCACCACTCCAGATGACAGCCCTTCAGGACAATGAGTGCAGTTTGGTGGAAGCAGCCAAATTATGGGAGATGTATTTGAAGTCTGAAGCCACATATGAGTTTTTATTTTTCCTGGTCATGGTATATTATATATTTTTGCCCAGAGTCCTAAGAGATGGCAACATATAAATTAATCTCATATATAAAAATAAAATGAGTTATTCTGAAGTGCAACATTGTGAAGTGATATGTGGACTGATAGTACCTAGCTATAGCATTTGCAGTTGTAATTTCATTAGCAATGGATGAGAGAACAGAATGAAAACATGCTTCTCTACATTAGCAAAGAAAGGGTTTTTTTCCAATATTGCTTTCCATTGTCCTTAGTTTTTCTAATAGTTTCCACCAGCACTGCCATCACACCCCAGATTTTCAGAAAACAGTATTACATTGGCTACCTCCTACAGAATATATTGTTGAAAATTTGTGGTTCCTGCATGTTCATTTTGTAACTCTATAATTTTCCTATCTTTTATTGTCTAGGGCCCAACCAGCTCCTATATAGGTTTCTGGTATATTTAAAAGTCATCATCACCAATAACATTGTTTATAGCAATGCATTTCTAAAAAAGAGTCTACTAACATTGATAAACATTCCTTTAACATTTTGATGGTCTAGAACAGGAATAGAGAGCCTGGTACTCCCTAACCTAGATGCTTAAAACTACAACATCATAGGCCCCAAAACATCATGGCCAATGTTCAGAAGTTATAGGAATTGTCCAAATCATTTGAAGGCAGCAGAAATTTGTGGCAGATCTGCCAATTTGTTAGGATAACCCCAAGTACAATTATTCTATATATCAAATTCAGCAACTCTCTTAATATTAAAAGATCACAACACTGTTTTTGGGACCGTGAAAGTCCTTTAGAAAAGGACTTTCAGAAAATAAGGAGTACTTATGAAACATCACTTTTTGACTGATTAAAGCAGCCACGTCTTTTTGTGGGCTTGCATAACATGCATTCGGTATGAATGGTAGATGGCTGTGCTTCTGAAGAAGTCGCATGAGTCTGGAAATAGACATTACTGTTCTAATGATTCAAGAATAGGTGTTTTGTATGCATTCTCCAATCCTTTTAAAGGATTTGCACAACGTAGCTCTAATCCTTAGCAGTAAAACAATATTCTTTGGTTTTATTTGAGAAAGCTTGCAAGATAAATAGAACAAAACTAAAATAAAAATGGCCTTAATAAAGGCTTGATGCTGTTAAAATGACTTGAATATGTAATTTCAACTTCATAGGTGCACCTAAGATAGGAAAAGCATAAAAATCAACACCCTCTCTATCCCTAGCAGATTCCTAGAGGCCACATTCATTCATTTAAATAAAGCATAAATTCCAGCTAAGAAGGTTCCGATTCCAAAACTTCTGTTCTAAATGCCATACAGCCACTAATTGTCTGCCCAAATCCACCCTGCTGAAAAAAAATGGCTTCCAATCCTCCTAACTCTCCTGGCAACACAAATGTCTCTCATCTTCTCAGTTGTCCCAAGAACTTATCACCTTCTCCATTCTGTCTCCCCTGGATTATAAAGACGACAGACTTAAAATAATACATCCAGCTTGTTCTGATGCACTGTACCATAGTTCATTGTTTACAGATTCTCTACTACTACCCTAGTTGACATTATTACTGCTATTTTAGAAACAAGAGAAACAGATATTGTGGTCACTGATAAATCAATCACTT